ATATCACAGATAACGATTGTTATGGTTTATATCTAGATGTCCCTTCAATGCTTCATGTACTCATAGATGGGACTCTGGGGTGGTGAGTGGATTATTTGTGGCATACATCATTGGGTTAGTCCACTGGTGGGTGTATAGCCAGGTATGATGTTGGGAGAGGAAGCTCGGTTGGAAGAGTGGGTCACAGTGGATGTGGCTTGGAAAGGCATTGTATAGGTATTCCTCCTTCTCCCTTGAAAACTCATTTCTTCCTACTTGCCCTGCCATGGACTCTTCCTCCTCTGCCGGGCCTCACCACCATGACACTCTGCCTTGGAGTGAGAAGACCGTGGACTGAATTCTCTACAAACTGTGAGCCAAAATAAACCTTTCCTCTTTTAGTTTGTGGGTGTTTTGTATTTTGTCTCAGCAACAAGAAGATAAGACAACAATCAGGGACTAACCTGTGAAGGAAGAAATGAGTCCTTATGGCATAAAACTGGTGTAATACTTATTATGTCCCTGAGCTCCCTGGAGTTGGGCTGAGGGTGGGCATTGTTTATAGGCACATGTTGCATGGTGGTTTTGTTTTTCTCCTGTCTCCCCTGCTTCTTTGCTGAGTGTCTCTCTTTGACCAAATCTGATGCAGCTTCTCTGAATCCTCTTCCTCACCCTCACCCTTACACTTCCATAACCATCTTCACATTGCTATGTTGGTTTATCTAGAATTCCCAGCCTGCTTTCAGCAAGAACGCTACTAGGTCATTTTACTTTGAACACCTCCTTAGGAAGCAATGTCTTCTAGTAATTTTCAACCATAACTACTCTCCCACCCAATAGCTGCCCTCCTTAGCTACACATTTTCCCTCTTCCTTGTATTGGAAATTATGCCCACTCTCTGTCCCCTACTGCAAAACCTCATTGCAGTGGTTTCTACACTGTCGAGACACTCCTGAAGTCAGTATTACTGTTTTAGCAAGTGGCAATGAAAAAAAATTAGCACTACTTTTATATCGAGGAGCACTGTTTCAGAAAAGTCACTTTTCTCCATATTCCTGTCTATGGTATACATGTGGAGAGCCACATTTGAGATGGATAACATGATGGAGAGTTAAAAGAGCCCAGGAAAGGGTGTGAAATAAGAAAAGGGGCAACAAAAGATGAAATCACGTGTTACAGCTGAGTGGGCCAACATGGTCCAGGTTTTTGTGTACAGCAAAGAAATAATTTCCAAGTGTAATCTGTTTATTTCCAAGTGCAATCTGTAAGATCATGGGATCGGAGGAGGAACAGACAGATGGGCAAAAGGAAAAGGAAGAGGAGGAACCCTCAGTGAGCTTCAACACAACTCAGACTTCCAGTTTTTAAAAGGTTTAGAAACCTCAAATTCCAGGTGCCTTCTAATCAGTTTCTCACTGTGTCAGAAAGTAATGGTCTGCTGCCTTGGGAAGTGAGACCTCCCAGGCTTGAACATGGATAATCACCATGTCTGTGCCATACCCCATTCAATCAAAGGAAAGGAGTTGTTCATTCAATTTTCGTGTTTCTGACTATATCAAAAGCACTATAACTTACCCATAAAGATAGAATGAACGTCCAAGAATAGGAGTGCAAAAAAGATGAGGCAGAAGTGTTGCAGGGTGGGGGAGGAGCTGTGAATAGACGATGGTATAAATCATAGAAACCAAAAGAGAATTTCAGGTGAAAGGCGTGAAATGATACAGAGAAGTAACTCAAGGTTTGAAAAGGATCTATTAAATACAGCAACAAGGAGGTCTTGTTATAACCCATTAAATATTTTGAGATTTTTAATATTTTAGAAGGTAATGACTGATGATAACCTGGTGTGGGGGCACACATCTGTAATCCCAGAACTCTGGAAGGGAGAGGAAGGGGGATGGCAAGTTTCAGCCTAGCTTGGGCAAGTTAGAGACCTGAGCCCCTGCTTCAAACTAAAAAATCATAAAGGGTTGGGATGTAGCTCATTGCCAGGCCCATGAGTTCACTAGTACTGGGGGCTGGGGACTGATGATAATATTCATTCTCTTTTAGAAAAGAACTTTTCAGCACTTATAGCCCAACCTTTGTATTACTGGGAGACTGAATGACACTCCCTGCTACAAAGTGGCCAGTGGTCTTTGTATACTAAGTCAGTGTGATGAATACAGACAGCAGTAAATCATTACAGGTGCACAAAAGAAGACTCAAACTCTGCTCATCTGTTTTGTCTAATTTAAGAACTTCACATCATTTTAGACAGCAATTTTGATTTGTATAACTTAATATAATATCTTACTACAATTCATTTAATAACGTTAAGAATATATAGATATATATTCAAGGGATCAGTGTACTTGGAAGTAATGGAATAAGCCACTTTCTCATTGTGTATTTCCTATTATTTAAACATTTATAAATCTTTTGTTCTATATTCATTCTACTTATCTACATTAAATAGCTTCATGGGAAACATTTTTTTCAACAGCTTTCATTCTCTTAACCTGCCCCCTATCTTGTTCATTGAAACAGTCAACCAACTATTATGTAATACAAATACACTGAACACTAAAGAATAACATTTAGTGTTACTTCATGTTTATGGATCTACATCTTTTAAATATTTATTTAACTGCATTTTGTAGTTTCCTGAAATGCTGCTGAACTAGTACTCAAAGAAATAGTCTTTGGTCTGATGAGAGACATAAAGAGGTGATTGAAACTTCAGAAATAACTAAATATTTGTTTTAAAAAGTGAGTACAAAGTAGGATCAAAGAACAGAGAAAATATAGATTAAGCAACCAGTATTTGCATAATAATATAGACATTAATTATGCAATAATATGTCAATATTAAACTCAGTTATGCTTCCTTTATTGTACTGCACAATTATCATCCCATTCACAATTACTGGTACTTTAAATAACTGAGATAAATTCTGTAATTACGTAGATTTCATTACTTGAATATTTAAGAAACAATTTTCGCAGTTGTAAAATTTGTATTATCCTTATTTACTGTTTTAATTTTACTTTCCCTGATTCATTTTTAAATTCCGTAACGAATATTATATTATTTCATTATAGCTTGAAGCCATATTGCTAACTATGTAAATTATGTATTAAATTTTTTTAAAAGGCGTAATTGTATTTTTACTTTTATTTACATCATAATTATTAATATTTAGGTAGCATGTTTCTTTATATAGTTTTTGGAATCATCTTTTCCTGTATCATTATATTGGACACAAGGCAATTCTTTTTAAAGCTAGAATCAGGACCTATGCACCCTTCAATTTTATTGTAATAAGCATTAATGAACGTAAAAGACAAAGCCAGTAGAGTAGACACAAACTAGAGAAACAACAGTTTCAGAGGTAAATCAAATCAAAGGCTCCTCTGTTCTGTGACTGACCAGGAGCTTTCTAGGTAGAAAAGAACTCAACATCTGGATGGTTCGGTGGTTTGCACCTTTTGTACTCAGGCTACTAGATGATGTGGGAAGAGTTATCAACAGATACAAATAAAATCAAGTAGAAAAAAAACTATAGTAAAACACAACATTCGATTGCAAATAACATTTTCATGCTAGTTTAGAAAGCAGGAAGCCACGTAGACATTGAATAATAATTTAACATAATATTTATTAATCGGTTTGAGGAGGAAATATTTGAGATGCTGGCAAAATTTGCAAAATCAACAACCAAAGACAAACTAAAAATGAACGTTTAAAAATTTTATGTACATCTGCATACTTCAGTAAGTCCTAAGTCATTGGCAGAACAGCATTCCTTGAAATAGGAAGTAAGAGAATCAGAACTAGTACTGTGTGGTGCAAGGTAATTTATTAATAGCATTCTCCTTCCTTTAAACCTTAGATTCTTATCTGCAAACTCTCATCTTCCAGCCCGGTGAAATTTTAAGTCCACGATTTAATGCTAAGAAAGAGCAAATCTGCAATCAGAAACCCAAGGTTTTTAAGAGTCCAGTGCAGTGTCATCTGAAAGATATTCATAATGCTTCCTCTAAATTCTCAATTACATGGTTTACTGAAGACCGAGCCCTGGAAAGAGGGCCCATCTCCAAGTAATTTTAGCAATCAGTAACAGTTTTTCTACTTGAAATGTAATGCATAATTATTGTCCTGCTTAAGGAACACAATAACAGATATACTAATGAGCAGGTCACCTTTTCAAAGTGTGTTAAGTGGCTTTTCAAGTAACTAGGCATAGAACAGACGCCTGGGCCACTATCTGGCCAGATTTTTGCAAACGCAGGCAAAGCATGCAAGACCTCTTCTTTTCCTCTCCTCTGCAAAGTGAAGCAGGCCAGACGTGTTCATGTGATGCGAGTGACGTCAGCCCTCACAGGGTCGCGTGACCGACACCCAACCTTCCTGCTCCTCTGGTACCGCCCACGCGCGGGAAATCTCGCGAGAAGCAGGCTTACTATCAGAACTTGCCGGGGTTTGAGGGACTTACTCCCGAGAGCAGGAAGGTGTGGCACCCTGGCGGGGCGTTCGCTCGCGTGCCTTAGAAGCAAGGCCAAGCAAAGGCCTGTGGGGCCGGCCGGGGTCTGAGCAGCGCCCCCGTAACACAGACAGGAAGGTGGCCCGCGAGTAGCTGCAGAGCTGAAGTGAAACGTGGCGCACGCCCTCCTCGCGCCTCCGTCCCGGGTCGCCGATAGTCCGCGTCCGCCCCCTGTGGCGACCCCGTTCTGGCCCCACGAGTCGCGCGTCCTCACGCCCCGTCAGCCCGGGCTCGCGTCGCACACGCTCCGGCTCCGCGGGTGTGGACGGGTCCCTCTGGCGCCTGGCTCTGCTCGCCCGGCCCTCTCCAGTCTCCCCGCGCCCGCCCACCGGGTATCCCCGCGGACCGCGTGTGCCCGGAGAGACCGGAGAGGCAGGGACGCGGCCCGAGTCGCTAGAGGGAGGTGTGGGGCCGCGGGGAGGGGGCTTTGGGGCCGGGCGGAAGGAGGGGCGCGGAGGCGGCGCCTTGGGAGGAGACGGAGCGGCTCGGCAGTCGGGCTCAGCGCTCCTGCCTCTGCTGAGTCCCCAGCCCGCGGGCTCGTGGACTGCCGAGTCCTCGCGCCGCCCCGCGACAGCTGCTTCGGGCTGGGGCTGTTCGCCCCGGCTCCACCAGCCCCGCCGCGGATCGTCTCCAGGGCGCACCCCGCCGCGTCTCCCTCTCCCGACCCGCTTTTCTCTTTCGGAAGACTTTGCCCCTGACATTTGGTGAGAGGGGCTGGAAAGGGGGCGCAGAGACTGTCCGGAGGCCGAGGAGGCAAGCCAGGCCGGTAGGCGGCTGAGGGGACCCGTGTCGCCCTCTGTTCGCTCCGCGCGCCCCGCCCCAGTGCGCACTCCTCGCCAGCGAGCAAGCGAGCGACTTTGGGACTAAGAAAGTGAGTGGGGCCTGGGTGACAGCGCCTCGGGGCCAGTCCCGGGGAAGCCGCGCGCCCGCCCGAACGCCCGCCAAGGATGGCCTCCACCGCCACCTGCACCAGGTTCACCGACGAGTACCAGCTCTTCGAGGAGCTCGGAAAGTAAGCGCCTTTCCCGGCACCGCGCGTCCCCTTTCCAGCAGAGGGCGGATCGAGTCGCCCCCTGGCCTGTGGCTAGGGGCGAGGGAATTGGAGGGTGTGTGTGTGTGTGTGTGTGTGTGTGTGTGTGTGTGTGTGTGAGTGAGAGAGAGAGAGAGAGAGAGAGAGAGAGAGAGAGAGAGAGAAAATGGGAGGTGGCGGTCGGACCCCCGGCTTGTCGCTCTGGGGAAGACACTGTTTCGGGAAGGGGAGGGGACTGAGTGCAGACACCCCTACCGGAGAAACCCCAGCCGCTCTGTCTCTTCCCTATCTCCGCCCGCCCCATCCCCGCCCGAGAGACTTAGTGAATTACGATCTCTGCAGTTGTAGCTGTCATCCTGTGAAGTATGCCGTGTGTGTGCGCGCGCGGGGCTGTGCGTGTGGCTGGGAAACGAGAGCCTCTGTACCACGCCACATAGATCACGTTTTCTGTAAATAGAGGTTCCTCCCCGCCTGACCCGCGCACGGATGAGCACTCGCAGCCACCGACGGTGCCATGTTTATTGATGCTGAAAGTTCAACTTGGGCTTGGTGAAGAGACACTTTCACATCCAGTAGTTGTTTTGTCTAGGAAAAAGACCACTCCACCAAACTCAACCCCTTGCCCCATATCCGCTATTATTCTTCCCACCAGATTACTTGCTTACAGTCCTTCTTCCTGGGATCTGAGAGCGCGTTTTTTTTCTTTCTCTCTACGAAGATTTATTTCTCCAGGCAGCGGAAGAGCCCTCTGGAGACAGCAGAATGCAGCCCACGGGTAGCTAAGCTTGTATACTCTCAAGTGGCAGAATTACTTGGAGATGTTACGGAAGGGGACTGGTCCTACTTAGGATCTATGCCCACGGACCTAGCAGCTGAACCCTGAGTCTTGATTTATGTAGCATCAAACCCAAACCCAGTTGTTCTATCGCTAGTTTCAGGGTGCGTTTGCATGTATTTTTGGTGATTTGTACAGATAAATTCCAGGGGAGGTACATATTTTTAAACGTAGTGAAAATTATACCCTTATATATAGTCTGCTGTTAAAACATGGAGACTATGTCGAAAGAGCAGTTTAATTCAGCTTTCTCCCCTCCCCCGGCCCCAAACAGTGCAGGGAGAAATCACCTTAGCAGGATTTGTTAAACCACCTTCCAGTGTGTTCAAGATTTATATATTAATGAAAACAATCGCCATATTTACTTACTTGGAGCCACATTAATTATTTTCCCTGAAAAAAATAAACAGCAGATTTTTGCTCCTCCTCTTCAGTTCTAATCTGTGCAGGGTTTTCCCCAGAGCATTTGGTGCTGTGTGAATGTAAATTGTAAAATGTTTTCCAAATTCTGGCGCAAACATAAAGCGGTCATAATTAGCAATTCCTTTCATTTTGTTGACTACTAATGCGTGCTTCCAGTTAGGTAAAATTTTACTTTCTATTCTTTAATGTTAAAAATGTCTGGGTTTCCTGGAAGAAATTTTTCACTTTCTGGATATTACTAAATTACACTGATATTTGTCAATTCACTGAAATGAATAAAGATGCTCAGGTTTTGTAAATGTTTAACGGAATATCAGGTATGATGCTATTGATGACCTGCTAATGATTTGTTTCCAGGGGGGCATTCTCAGTGGTGAGAAGATGTATGAAAATCCCTACCGGACAAGAGTATGCTGCCAAAATTATCAACACCAAAAAGCTTTCTGCTAGGGGTGGGTATTGTCAACCATATGTGTGTTAATTTTGTATTCGTCATATTGTTTATTGGTTTAAGTACAGATCATTTAAGTATAGTTAAATTTTAGATTTAGGTATCACATTGTGTATTGAGATTATTTTTTCTTGAATACTTCTTGGTGTGTATAGTTTAACAAGAAATGAACAAATGTTTAATAAAATTTGATCTGTCTTATGAGCAGTATGTAAAAAACTATTTTGTAGAGCAAATACATATCACTAAGTGCATTTTGCTTTTTAGTTCCAGTATAAAATAACTTTTAGAAGAATCCTGGACTGGGAAAAATTTAAGACATTATTTAATCCATGATTCCCTTTTGCTTTTGAGAGGAAAAATAGGTCATAGCTCAGTTGAATCATATATTTCAATTGTAGTTACACTTGAACTTAATTTATCAATGTATATTTAACAGTAATGGCTTTGAGAGGGAGAATTTATGATTGCTGTACTCTAGGAAAATCAACTTGATTTTGATGTTCTGGATGCGGTTTAGAGCTTTGCTTGGTCTTTGCACTGAAGTTTCACGTGGGATCCTTTAATGTATTTCACACATGCAGTTTATGGCCACAGAGATAACTCATATTCATAAAATAGCTGTTGATAGAAACAGAAAGCTTAGGAATCTTGCTGCATTTTTTTTACTTTGTTAAATTCATGCAAAAATACTTACACTGAAATGTTAGGCATTCCAATTATTGTGGACGCGTGTCTGGATATTTCTATGGGAATTTGTGGCTTGAAGAAATAAAACTTAAATGAACAAAATACCATAGTGTAAGCCCATCTTAGTGACCTGGTTTAGGTAATATGAGAAGAAATTCCATTAGAGTTAGCTTTTCTCATTTACAAGGTCTTTTCAAAACTGCTCTTTATGAGTATCCTGATGTCATTGCTTGTGTCCCTTGGTATGATTAAGGTTTTCATAGTTAATGCAAATTCTACTTCTAGCATGTACTTTAGGTTTAGGTGGCAGTGTACTCAATAAAGGGGATTTTGTTGTTATTTCCTTTGTCTGATTTTAATATGATTCCAAGGATGATCTGTACACCAAAATAACCAGCTCCATAGCATCATGGTATGAAAATTACTAAGAAACATGTATTATCTTTCTTTCCTATTTTCTATTGCATAGATAGGTTTTTAAAATGATAGGATGTATTAGATTATAAAAGCTGTTTTAGGAAAAAAACCATAGAAATGTGTAGTCACCTTTTTTTCAATGATTTTTATTACTTCTTCCTATGTAGTAGGTATTTCGGGGGACATTATAAGATCTGTTCCATATAGTGGCTTTAAATTTTCTTTAAAAATAATGTAGTGCTTCAGTTTTACTAACTTCCTTATATAGTCATGCTTTGTCCCTTGTAGTCCAGTCAATTCGTAATCTACTTCTGAATGGCAGGAATGGTTCGTGTTCACATACTTTCTACTCTCTGCTGCCTCTGATTTGTTGAAGATGAATCTTTGCAGCTTTTCCATCACCAGCCTATTCCTTAATCTGCCTGAGTGGGCTGTTGAACTTCATGTGTTTTGAAACTTATTTCTTGGGGCATTAATTCTGATTCACACACATATCAGCTGTGTGATTGTTGACAGTTTGCATATATTCCACGTGCCTCATTTTTCCATCTGTCAAACGGGATAGTAGAACCTTTTCTTACAGGGTTTTTGTGTAAAGTGAATGAATTAGTACAGTATAAATAGCACCTGCCTCACAATGTGCATTTAGTTAATACTGGCTCCTGTTATTTTATGATAGGGTTGTTGAAGTGATCAAATTAGAATATTTATGTCAAAGAAATTGACAATTATAGCTCGAATGGAAGATTTGATGAAATGTAAGAGCCCAATGTGAATCTCGGTTTTCCTGCTTATTGTATATATTTGGTTCAGTCTTTTACCTTTTCTGGATCTAAGGTTCTTCATCAATAAAATGAGAAAAACATACTCATGGCTTCCCATGGAATGTTTTACAGATTGAGTGATTTTGTGAGACTCACTTTTTAAATTGCAATGTGCCATAGCAATTTTATCTATCATTACTATATCTGTAAAACTTATGGCATTTTTTCTATGAAATGCTTAACAGCTTTATATTATCATACACCCAGAGCTGATTATTGAATATTTGTATTTTTAAATGTACACATTTATGTACTTTATACCACTATTACAAATCTTCAAGAAAAATACCATGTTTTAATTTTTTGATATAGCATTCAAAATACATAACATTGGTGAAGTAGAAAAGCTTAGAACAGAGTAACTATAATGAAAATACGATTATTAAATTATTTGTAAAGGAATTAGTTTACATTTAAGAATGAGCAATATTAAGTAGTATGTTAAGAGCACATACTTTAAAATGCAAATTTTAAAATCACGTTTTCTTCAGAGAATATAATAATCTAAGGAAATTTTTCTTGCACAAAAATTTTCAAAAGTAACAAATACATTTAAAGGAAAATGTAGAATGAAATAAAAAGAGCATGTTTGTTTTTTCAAAGGTCCTGATTTTTAGGAATTTCATTGAACAGTTTTGTGGAGCATACTTTTTTTTGTAGCAATAGGGGTTTAACCCAGGTCCTTGTGCTTGCTAGGCAAGCACTGTTATGCTGAGCCACATCACCAGCTCTTTTAAAATTTTATTTGGGGATGAGGTCTTTCTCAGTTGCTTAGGCTGATCTTGAATTTGTGATCCTTTTGCCTCAGCTTCCTGAGTACCTGGAATCACAGACATATGCCAGCATGTCCAGGAAAAAATAATTTTTTGTAATATTTTGTAGTATTTGAAATTCTGCATCTTTGTAAATTCAAGTGTCGTAAAGACCAGGTAGTTCTTCTAACTCAAGTAACGTTACATATGAAAAAGAAAGGGCCATTTGTCAGTATATAGAAAGAAGACTGTGAGGGAATTGCCAAAAATTCAGCTGTGTTCCTGTACAAATTTGCACATCCAACTGTACTGTCACTCAATCATTTTTCTGCGCTTAAATTTTAATGGGTTTCCAGCAGACAGTTTCAGTGGTGTTTTCTCCCAGCTATTAGTCACACACCACATATTTGGGAGTCTCAGAGTCTATGGAAGAATTTCTTTCCTTTTATATCAGCACTTACATGTGCAGAACATTCAATTCTGGTGTTACTGAGCAGGTAGATAAGCATACTTATCGTACAGAATCTGGTCTCTTTAAAATAAAAAATGGCATAGAAATATCCAGACAAATATTTTATGTGTAAATTCTGTCTTCCGAAAAGCTATTTTGAGGAATAGAGAGCATACTTAGTAAATGAATAGTGAATAGTGACTGCAGTTTGTCTCATTTTCACCATGAGAATTAGAAATTATATCATTTTGATCCTAATTAGGGTAATACTTAATAAATGCTAATTTACTCTGCTAATACATCTTTGCTAATTTGCTTGTTGGACATGTTTAGAACTATAAATTGTTAGATTGGATGAAGTCCCACAAGGACCATAAAGTTTATCAGAATCCAGTGAACTGATGACTCTGATAACAGATGTCTTTAGAAATAGTTTCTGTGATTTTTTTTTCTGTGATTTATTTTGCACTTTAAAGTCTCCCAATATTTATTAATGACTCCTTGACATTCATCTTCGAGTGTACTTTCTTGATCTTTAGAAACCATTATTACAGTGTAATATGTCACAAGTTATTTTTGTAAAATGTAATTATTACCATATACACCAGAAATGCTGTATACCAGTATAAGTGTATTTTACCTCTATTTCATTTCTAAAGTTAAAAAGAGTTTTCTCTTATGCTTCTTTAAAACTTCATTACATATTTAAATCATTTTGATTTTTAAAATTTTACTAGTTCTTTTATTTCCTAAATTGGTGATATTGATAGAACATAATCAGACTTTATAAAACTGCTTGAGCATGTACCTAGAACTGGTGATGTATTTTTTTTATTTCTTGATAAATCTTTTTATGTTTTAATAAGGATTTCAAAAACTAATTGTTGTCAATCTTTTTGTTTACTTTTTTGAGGCAATTAAAACATTACTGTTAACTTCTCAACCTCATGGATACTTATTTTGAATAGGAAGTAAAAAGAGACATTGTAGATGAACCAGTTTTACATGACTGATTTGGCAATGTGGAACTAATTGGGCAAATTGATATTTGAAAGATTCTTGGCTAGGATAATGGTTTAAGAACAAATTAGCAAATCATTTTATCTTTGTACATAGAATCACTACAGTTCTTAAGTTTCTGGTCCCAGAAATGGCTATTATCTTTATTATTTTGTGGCCTTTAGTTTAGTTGTATTTACATTCTTATGTGAACCTTGAGATTAGACATATATTTACTTCTTTCAGTTAATAAGAATATTGATGTTCAATGCTATTTTGAAGGTAAAAATAATAAAAATGTACTTTCATACATTTTTCATTTCATACAAAGATAATAAAAATCCTTTATACATTCTAGCATCATTAAAGCAAACTTAACAAAAATATATGGTTGTCAGGTACCTCAAGGTAGATTAATGACTAGTGTCAACATCTGCCTGAATGACTGCATGAGATTTACTCAGAACCAACGAAAACTTTGTTTATAACTCTAGGTTATTATTTTTCTCTTTGATTGAGATACTAAATCAACTTAGTATGAAAACTAAAATTTAGTACTAAATCACCTTTTGTGACTTTTTTAATGTTAACAAATTAGTTGAAATCACTACTGAGGTTGTCAGGGCTTTTTTTGTGAACTACACTTTATTTTTACAAATCTTATCCTTGAACTGACAACGAGAGTGACTTTTGTCTCTCAGACTGGGCTGATATCTTTTTTTATCTTTAACATCCATCCATCCCTCATTTATTATAGTGGTACTGTACACTGTTTTTATATGTTATTAACAATTAATTAATGCTTATTTACATGGGAGCTGTGTTAAAAATTTAAAGTTACAGGAGCATCATTAAGTAAACTCTGGAT